TTACCGGTAAGTAATATGCAGGGTTAAAATACTGAGTTACGGTATCGCCGAATGTTCCTCTTATATCTATAGTTCTCAAGAGAGGAGCAAAAGCGTCACCAACCCGCTGGTGACTGACCACATTACTATAGCAGTATAGATGTGTTGAGCCAGCATTTATATCCGCTGGATAGGCTGCTGATTTATCATCAAATTTGAGCCACTGGTCTGGTTGTATTCCAAGCATATAAGCAACGGTTTTTGGAAAGCGGAAACGATATTGGGCCCCTCCTAGAAATTCAATTTTCCTGTGAATTGGACTATAGTACAAAGTGACATCAGAGTCAATTTTTTTGAAGCAGGACTCAAGTTCCTCCATGAGCTGAGTTATGCTACTATAGTAACCAGCTCTAAACATATGAAGCCTTAACTTGCTAGTCGGGGCTATGTCGGGGAGTTTTGCTTTCTTTATCCACTCAAAAAAGGCTGCTTCCGTAGGTAAGTTATACCAGGTGTGTGGGTATGATATTTCTGTCAGGGCTACCTGCCACGAACCATCCAAGTGTAAAGGTTGTGCTAGGTTCACCTGATAACTAGAGCTTGTATTGTTTTGAAATACATCAAGGCTGGCATTGGACGGCAGCGTAATGTAGAACCCTTCATTTATCTCCATGGCTGTAATGAAGGACTGAGCGGCGATTCTGTTTGCTTTTATACATCTTGGATTTCGCCTGCATCAACCCAGCTGTTGAATTTTTCGGGCCAATTATGCCAAGATACAAACATTTGTTTTTTCCCTCTCACCACCCGCCTTTTTAGAATTTTCTCGACTTGAAAAGCCTTGTCCTTGGATATCTGTACTTTTTGTAACTCTTTCTCATAAAAAGTCCCCTTGATCTCTTCTCCATCATAATCTTTGAGTTTGTAAACAGGTGGCTGTCGAGGTAAGCCTTCAGACACCGTAAATAATTTGTCCGTATAACTCTGCTCATATTTTTTATCGAATACTCCTCTCAATTTGGATATCCTTACAAGCTCCCCCTCCTTAAAGTTCATTTTGACAGCAGCTTTTTTACGAAGGCTGGAGGGGTTATATAGATTCCGAAACACTTGAGCCGCATTCTCCTTGGTTACCTGCAGTGGCGTCATTTTAATACTTCGGTGATAACTATTATTGTAACTTTCAAGTAGTTCAGGTAAGACGTCTATATATCTATGAGTGTTTTTAGCTGTAAAATACCTCCACATTTTAGTTTTCAGCGTACGATTAAATCTCTCTATCACACATGCCTTCATATCACTGGCGGTTGCATAATGTTGTATACCTCGTTTCTTCATTAAGTTTTGAAAAACTTTGTTAAAGAATTCTTTCCCCGCGTCTGTTTGTATCTTTTTAGGAATCTCACTGTGTGTTAAAATTGTATCAAAGGCTTGGGTAACCTCAATACCCGTCTTCTTCTTTAATGCCTGAGCATAGGCTTTTTTCGAAAATACATCTACGACTGTTAACAAATAATTAAAACCATCATTATATTCGGACAGCGACTGCATATCACAGAGATCTGCTTGAAATTGCTGCAGCGGCCTGAGTACGAAAACTCTGTTTCTTACAAAATGCACCCGAGCCGGCTTATGTAAAGTATATGCATCCTGCTCAGATAAATATTCTCTGACTTTCTCTACATTTACTTGTTTACCCATTTCATTCTGTACAGCTCTATGGAGTTTATCCACACCTCCTAAACTCCCTGGATTAGAAGGAGTGTAATACAGCCTTTGCATGACACGTTTCTCAGACATGTTCCCTGTTACAGCCCGATGAGGTAATGAGTACAACAGTGTTTCTTACAAAGCATTTTATTGATATGTCACACATGTATAAAAAACATGTTAAAATAAGTAAAATATAAAACATACTTTAACGAAAAAGTATCAAATTTGTTTTTCCTATTGCTGCCAAAAGACCCAAGCTGCTCTTATAGTCTTCAGACGGGTCTCGTCGTTATCTACCATCTGGTCGAAAATCTTCTTCATTTTAGCCTCAAAGAGTCTGGTGTTTCTGAGATTGTGCAGAATCGCCTCGGTAGCTCCAAAGACTCTCCTCTCCGACACATGAAGCTGGCTCTGGTGTAAAGCGTCCCGAATGGCTGGAATGAATAATAATAATAATAATAATATATTAATTTTATATAGCGCTTTTCTGGACCCAAAGACGCTTTACATTTGGGAGGGGGGGTATACAAACAAAAGAAAACAAACAAAAAAAAACAAAAAAAAAAAAACACAACAGAAAAGCAGTCAGGAGGAAGTTGATTAAGAGGGGGGGGGCTTTATAGATAAAGAGTTGAAAAGGTGGGTTTTGAGGCGGGACTGGAACAGGGTGCGGGACTCAGACTCACGGAGGTCTTGGGGGAGTGAGTTCCAGAGAAACGAACTGTGTCTCTTTATCACATCGTCATAATTTATATCCAGAAAGTAATCTTGGGTCGGAAACAAACACTCGTGCTGCCTCTGACTGGGGTGAGCGATTCGACATCCGTTACATGTTTCCTCTCTGTACAGTTGCACGACCCTATCCAGCAGATGAACTACAACAGCTTTTACCGTATTCAGGAACGAAGCTGTCCTTTCACATTCTGTAGCATGAACCTCTGAAACACAAGTATAGCATGGCACATCAACGCCTACTACTGTTGATTCCCCTGGAGACTCGGATGGAGGTTGATGCATATCCAGCCACCCCGTGATATCAATATCAGCCATATAGCTGTCGAGATCTGGTGTCCAGATTGTTGGAGAGGATGGAGGTCCTACAGGCGTTTGCTCCAGGCTGCAGCTCGCGGTGAGAGAGTTGTTTTCTTCGAGATCCATGGTTGCTGCTCACAAAATGTCCTTGAGGTGTTCTCATTTTTAAATGATCTGGCGAGGAAAAGGCGGGGCTTGTTATGTTAAGGGGAGGCGGAGCCCTCTGTAAAAAGTATTTTGCAGTCAAACCAGGGAAAGTCTGTCACTTCCTCACAGAGCCCCTCCTCCAACACACATGAACGCGCATGACCAAAAGGGGGCGCGAGATAAGTTTGTGCACAGAGACCCCCGCATTGCTGCTGATGCATTCGTTTCTTGACGCTCAGGACGGATGCGGTAAGCTGACTGATTAAACCCCATTCGAGGCGTCTCTTGGCCATTTTTCTTTTTTGAAAAGGTGAATGGAATTGCTGTCTTTTTATTTAGTTTGCGCATATTTCTAATTCCACCCCCCACTATCTGCCTGCGTCATAGCCCGGAAGGGGGGAGAGGCTAGGAGGGGGCTGGTAGACAGTCTCACCTCACTTCAAGAGACACCTAAATTAACATCAGAGGCTTACAACACCTCATAGATTAGACTTCATAATTATACAACTCTGAGGGGGCAGGGGGCCAGACAGCATAAAGAGACTTAATCAACTCCTAAATTAACATCAGAGGCTTATAACACACCAGTGTGAAGTCACACCGGTGTGTTATAACACCTCCCGTCAAAGGACTAGACTTCATAATTATACAACTCTGAGGGGACAAGGGGCCAGACAACACAAAGAGACTTAATCAATACATCAAAGAATTAGACAACAAAGGCGCTAGCCCCGGGCTTTTCACATGACACAAAAGGATCTCTAACAAAGGGACTACACAGGGGGGCATTTCACACCTATGTGTGATGATACCTCACCCCTCACATCAAAGGATCTCACACCTACGTGTGAATTCACACCTAGGTGGGACATCCACCACGAAGAAAGGGAGGCGGGACTTAGCTCATTAACATAAGTAGGGAGAGGTGTGACCTGTCACACCACCTGTCACTTTTCTTGCATACTAATGTGATTGAAGGGGCATTTGTACTACTACTCGCCACCTCCGGACTCGGCTTGACTCGGTTTAACAAATGTGTTTAATCGTTTATGTCAGATATGTACTAAGTAGCCTAAATACATTTGTTCCTGCTCAAGATTAGATTCAACTTTATTGTTATTGCACATATTGCAGGTACTGAGACAACGAAATGCAGTTTAGCTTCTAACCAGGGGTGCAACAAGCAGCGAAAAGTAATGTGCACAATACTACAGTAAACAATTAACACAGTAAATTATGTGGATTAAACCACATTTATTTCGTTAAAAATAAACGAAATATGATTTTGTATGAATGATTAAATGTAGGGTGAATTGCCCTAATGTGGGACATTTTTGCATTTCAGACTTTGGGAATATATTGAGATATGAAACCGATACAATAAATCAAAATCCAGTAGGCTACCATTCCGAAATCCCCAGTAATATTAGACACTAATAATACAGTAAACTATTAACACTGTACATATTATTGTTTGCCCGTGGGATTAGGATGATCGGTAGTGAGACCCGTGCTGCATTTTCCTCCGGTCGGATGTGATATAAAAACAAAGCGATTATTTTTGTTGTTGTAAACTCACGTGGATTAAATGTAGTGCCCTAATTTCAACTCGCGAACATATGATACATTAAATGATCGTGAGGAAGATGATTGAAAATCGTTTGTTTGAGCCTGGATGCATTTCCTGATCTAAAAACATAGCGATGGTTTTGTACTTACGCCAACGTGAATTAAACATTATTTTGTTAAATAAAAACATGGGGATGTTTAGTAAATGATTACATGTCTCTTATTTAGCACAGAATATGATCCTATCCGTGACATATGGATCTTAACAAATATCCGCTATATCAGATACCTGTAGATCAGCTGTTTATTTCACATGAGTTCCAGTGTGGCAGCTTTTTAATCACGGCTCCCCCTGGTGGATCCATTATCCATTGCAGCTGGTTTCACTATAATTAAATGTATTTATCAAGGGGGCGTTTCAAGTCCTGCGGGGGGGGTTTTCCTTTTCAGCAGGGGCCCACCCCGTGCCGATCACGGACCCGCACGGGTAGGCGTCTGAAATGGAGCGCTTCATCTGTACTACATACTGACTTTTTTCTTTTTTACACAAGCCGACGTACCTCTGTCTTTGACTTTCGATTCCTCCTGTTCTTTTTTCCGTTTCCTTCCCGTTGCCCCTGAAGGCTTGGACCTTTTCATAATTCTAATTGTTTGCCTCTTGCTGTTGCATCGTTGCAATCTCTGACACTTTCAGCTGGAGCTGCCACGTCACTTTGGCTGTGAGTCGCGGCCCGTGGGTGCCAGATAAGCGACCATCCCCCCCTTTCGCCCATCGTACAGGGCAAATGTTGCCGCCGGCCCGGGGTGCAAAGGGTGTTTACTTTATTCAATTATTAATGTAAACGTATTACATCAAGGGCATAAAATTAGGAAGAATAAAAAATACAAATAAATTATTCTTTTTTTTTTTCTCCCAGCACAGCGCCGCTCCTGATCTGGCGCCCTAGGCGACCGCCTAGTTCGCCAGTGGGAAGGGCCGGCCCTGCTCAGATGTTGATGCTTTGGTCTTCCTTAACGCAAACCAAAAAACCTGGAAGGGTGGACATCGTTATCGAGGAGGACAGTGACAGCGAGTAAAGTGTTGCGCAATGCGCACTGGATTTACATTTCATTTATGTTCTTAACATAGTTTTTGCAGTAGATTTGGTGAGTCCAGTTACTGTTTTTTATTTAATCAGCCATGTAACCCATGTAACCCAAATTAAAATGCTGCTTTGTTACAGTTTGTAATGTAACTGTATGCATTGCAATACAAAATACAGTTTTACACCTCTCTTTGTGTGTCTTTATTATTTCGTAACAACTAGTCGACTACTATTTTGAAAAACTTCTCCACTAGTAAATATTGGTAGTTGTAAACCCCTACGCTATGCGGGTACAGGGGCATTATGGCCGGCGTAGCAGGGTTAAGAAACCAACACACTCTCACTCCCTAAACGTCCAGGAGCGACGCTTGGTCAGGGTGACCGTGGCGTGCAGTTGGGACGCGCTGAGGCTGTATTTGACGCTCATGGAAGCACCGCACTCGTTTATGTCGGCAGCTCTTAAAGGCAATGTGAGCGTCCATTCCCATTGGATAACGGAGAATTGTACACCCGGAAGTAAGTATGCTCCTTACTGTCGATTGATTTGACAGTGATATCTCCACTACTCATCAACTCAAAAACACCAGATTATCCTTGTTAATTAAACGACATTGATAGGTTTAAATTGTGTACAATGCTTTTGTGTTTTTCCCCTTCAATTCTGAGAAACAACTTGTTTTCTCTGAAATGTGGAGCGCCAAAGAGACTACACTACCCACAATCCCCAGCTATTGTTGTGACGACGCCTGTCCGCTTTGCAAACCCTGTGATTAATCTTCAAGCTCTGAGATTGGATGTTGGAGTGGCAGTACGCAGTAGCGTGGCGTGGGGAAAAAATTAGGGGAAGCCAATAATACGTCCTTTCTTTTGGGTCAGGGGTGTGGTGGTCAATATAATAACGTAACCAGATGAGTGATTACAGCACCCGGTATCATTTTACACACATTTGTATCATACAGATGCAGGACTTACACACACCTGTTATCTAACCGACAGGTCCGCACGCACTCTCCAGCCCAAACTCTAATAAGCATTCATTCACAAACTAAATCAGGAGACCTTTAACGTTTTACGTCCGATTCGCTCCTTTTTTCCTCGCTGTACACAGCTCCAGTTTGGGCATTGGCCTGTCATCAGATTGTATTTGTTGTTGCTGCTGTAGCGGAAGTTTAGTACAATTATTTTTGATTAAATACTCCAAATCTCCACCCTCCATAATTGCACTTGCTTCAGTTGCTTGCTACTTTCTAACGGCGATGAGAGTGGTGCAGTGGCGCGATCTATCTTCTATCGATTAGTTTTATGATTCGAAAATTATAAAAGTAGGGTAGACATGTGGATATTATCCGGCTGAACAAAACGTGCATTTATCTAACAGGTTCGTTTTCCACTGACCTTATTTCGAGCTATTTTCCAAAATCCTATGGAGAAATCCCATTGCCTTTTTGTCGAGGGAAACCTAGCGCAGCTTACTTCCGTGTTTTAGGATGCGTCACTGCAACACTAAGTTGATGCGATTTGATTGGATTGTGAGGCAAGGGAAGCCAGCCGCCTCTGGCTTCCCTTGGCATGGCCCTGACCAATCACAGGTTGGCAGGGGCATGACGTGAGCCTTGTCTGATTGGTCAATCCCTCCATTTGTTTTCACCAAGGGAAGCCAATTTCGGCTGGCCTCCTCTCGCAACAGAGAGTGCAATCTACTGTTTCACCATAACATCTAGAGGGGCGCTATTTCACTCTTTGTAAAATATTCAATGAGAATGGGGGAGAGACGGGCCGGCAGCAACACACAACAAAGAATTTCCGAAACTAAACGAAGTGTTTTTATTTATTTATTCAAATTATAACTAGGCTACAATCAGAAAAAAACAGGGGAAGCCTGGCTTCCCTTGGCCTCCAGGAGAAAACGCCATTGGCAGTACGCTAAGTTACGCCGAGCGTCAAGCTCTTTGAAATGGAACGAAACCATGGCAGACTATTCAAAACTGGACTCGAACGCCCCCCCAGAACTACACATGCTGGCTATTGTGTTTCGCAACATGTTCTCTATGGCACGTCTCTACTGGGAATTGTAGTTTTAAAAGACGTTTTCGTTTTTCCCAAAATTAGAAGTTGACAGTATTAAACTGTGTACAGCCCTGGAGGTTTAGGGGATAGGAAACAAATTGGTGTGTACACATTTAAAACATGTAATTACTAAATGGGTGAAAATCGCTTGTATCCATAATGGGCAGCATTAATATACCCACATGACAGCTCATTGTTACTTTGTAATTCTACTCCACTACAATGCAGAGGTTAACCTGGTATGTTTACTCCACTACATTTATTTTAGTTACTTTGCAGATTGCGATTAATGATGTGAAATATAAACAACCCTTAAAGCAGACTTTAGTTACACCTGAGTAAAATTCATGGAAAGGTGATTGTCAAGTGCCAACAATCAGGAGAGATATTTGATTGTTGGTGCTTGAGAAGACTAAACATTAATATGCAGATCTCTATAAAGTCATCCCTTTCATGCATGAATTATGAAAACCTCAGTCAGGATATTTTTTACCAAGTGTTTATATTTTTCTTGGGGAATGGAAAACAAGATTTTAACTTTAGTTTTTTTTAATCTATTTTTTTCAAATAGATTTTTATATGTCCACTCAGGTGGACAGTATGCGTTCAGGGTTTGAACCATAGACTGTATATATAAATGGACGTAGTGTCCGTGACGTCACCCATAGGATTCTGCAGAGTTGCCGTGAAGCCCTTAGTAGGCGGAGTCGGCCACTAACGGCTCGACTGTGACGTCAGAGTCTAATCCCGCCTGCTCCAAATAAGGGCAAAGAGGCGGAGCCGAGGCGGGACCTGCTGCCTCCGAACTGGAAGTAAACAGAGCTAGCTCAGGCTAAGAAGCTAAGCTAACATGGAATACATGCATACCAAGTTACTGCTAACAGTGTAGTTCCCCTATATAAACGTTACATTCATAATCAAATGAGACAATCTGCAAGAGAATTAGCTATATTTTGTTATTCTTAATGCTTGTCATTCACACGTTGAGAAAAGACGGACTCCACCGCCCGGACCTAACGGAGCCGCAGTGGGCTAGCTCCGGGACGCCGGCTGGAGCTAGCCCCCTGCGGCTCCGTTAGCTCCGGCGGCCACCACTGGGATAATTGGGTCCCCTATTAACATTTGCTCCTGTTTAGCATTATGGGCGTCATAGCCATAGACTAAAATGTATGTATGTATAAAGGGTTACGTCCTTAGCTGGCTAATAAGTAACAAGCTAAGCTACCAAGCACACAAACACCTGCGAACGGGGTTAACATGTATAATATTATCATTTTAGACTTCATGGAAGTTCTGTTAGTACATTCAAGCGCACAGCACGACATTTTAATTGGTATTTGTAACAATATTCCCTAAAAGGCACAATCACCACGAACACGGCTAAAGCTAAAGGGTCAAGTACAGTAGGCTACTATGACTAACTAACATTGTAGCCTCTATGGTTATAGCCTAGCAGAGTGGACAAGTTGCTGTTAGCTGACAGTGAGGCATGTACGTGTCCATCAAAGTGACCACGCCCTAATTTATGCAAAAAACTTTAAGACCTAATATAAATAAAAGGGTTGTGTTAGAAAACAATTCACTCACAGATTCATAATCATGAAGGTGGAATCTAACTATATCGATAATAATATTTATTGCATCCATGGGTAGAAACATGTTTTTTTCTGCTGTAAAGTTGGGCATTTTAACATGGGGGTCTATGGAAATTGCTCCTTTCTGCAGCCAGTAATGATGAATTAAGATGTGCAAACTTAAAATTACATTATATTAACATAAGTATGTTGATTTACGGCCCAAAAAGATATTGCAGATGAAGTATTTTCAAGAATAACCAGGGCCAGGGGCCAATTTGAGGCCCCACGCACAGTTATTTGATGAGTGCTAGTGGAGCCTCGTAGCGGCGAAACCGTGCCGCACCACCCTAATTGCGCCACATAAGCACATAGGTGCGCCTCAGATGAGTCCCCCTTCCGCAAGGTGTGGCCCCCTCCACAAGGTGAGGCCCCACACAGTCTGCATGATCTGCCTGTAGGGAGGGACGGCCCTGGGTACAGCAGCAGCAGTACCAGTATTAATTGTAGTTGAAATATAGCCAGTAATGCATGACGTCCACTGTAGTGGACAGGTGGTTAATCATGATTTCCTGCAAACATAAAATCAATACTTTGATCATTTATTAATTATATGATTCCTTAGTTGTTACTTGATGTCACCACATTTTTTATACCTGCAGGGGACGCTTTCCATAAAAGGATTGGCAAGATATAGATGGGTGACTTGGTCCATGTGGCTTTCTGTCGTCCATCTTGGTTTATAGACATGTATCATGCACTTACACTGACTTGGCACTGAGTAGCAGTGTATGGGATGATGCAATAGGGTCCTATGTAGTGGCTGATTGTGCAACTATGCAAAAAAAAACAATGCATATACAAGAAAACACATTTTGAATAGCTGTCCACTGTAGTGACCTCTATGCATGAA